AGGATATGAGAGAGTGAACAGAAGTACTGTACCACAGGCCAGATGTTCTTATTCCAGTAGTGACCAAAACTGTGATATTCCACCAAGAGCGTGTTTTTTATTTCCTCTGGAATATTTAATACACTTCTGCAATGGTTCAGTGGCTGAGGTAGGTGAATACAGAAATAAATGTAACTTCCTGTGACTCATATGCAGCGATTAATAATCCTCATAACCTTGAATGAACAACTGGAACCCCAAGAGAGAATAAACTCACTGAGAAGTGAAAGTATAGAGGAAGGAAGGGAGGAGCATAAATGGAACATTATCTTTCTTCATGTAAAAGAACTAAAAGCCATGAAGAGTGAATATAGAGAAGAGAGTATTTCGAAGCTAGAAGGGTGCTGGTAGTCAATTATCAGCTGACTACAGAATATGGAAACAAGTAAGAAAGAAAGTTGCTTCATCTTTCAATGAAATGAGAGGTATGGCAGAAGTAAAGACAGAACAGAAATTGCTGGTTGAGCACAGTAAGTATGTACTGGTGTAAACATTCCCTTGTAGAGGTGGGAACCTACTTCTTGAATGCACAGAGTAAAGATACAAGTCTAATTATCATCATGAGCTCTCCTCTGCAGACCTTTAACCTGTTGGGAATTTTGATGCTTAGAAGTAGGATCTTGGAAAATATTGACAGTATCTGTAAATTCATACAGCATTGAGTGTTAGAGGTTGTCAATCCTTAGCCCCTTAATCATTTATTATGAAGATAAAAGTGGAAATTGGGATATATAAATATAGCTGCATTGCTGAAATTGTCTAGTATTTATGTTCATATTAATATTGATGTGCAAATTCTCTAATATAAGTTTCTAGCTTCCCAGTAGTTACTTTACCTGTATTACCTGAGGTTTAGAAGTCTGTTTTTCATAGTAGAAGTGTTTTAGAGCTACTTGAATGTGCTGCTTAAACCTTTCAGTCAGTATCTTTTGGTCTTGAGCAACAGCATAGCTCTGTAATAATTGAGAGATGAAAAAATATCTTGTTAACAAAATATTTATGTCCAGTGTGAGCATTCTGCTCTGAAAAAAAATAACAGAAATTAACTGTTAAGAGTTGACTTAACACCACATGCTTTATTTCCTTATTATTTCTCTGTGGATGGAAAACAGAAGGGAAAAGCACACTGGCTTTCATTCGTTACAGCTTCCTAGAAATCCTTGTGACTCTGAAAAAGAGAATTCCCTTGTGTGTAAATAAAGCTTATTGACTTGGGAAGCAGGATCATGATCAGTGTTTATTTTACTTAGAATTAATGCCTTGCCCAACAGTGGGTTCCCAATGGTAAGTTCAGGCATCTTGACAATGAGTCAAGTGAAGCAAAACACAGTCCTTTCACCCCAAAGTGCCTGAACTCCCTGATAACCAGGTAGCTCTGCATGCAATAATTGCACATATACACAAAAGAGTCGGGCTAAAATTGTACCTGGGACTGTGTATTTGACACTTCTGAGTCCTAAGCAATGATTTTTATGATTCCTCTTTTCCGTAAAAGATATTCTTGTAGGAAATACAAACTAAAAGCATATGCAACTATCAAGTGATTGTGATGAAAAGCCAGACAGGTTGCTGAATCTGGCCTTTCAATATTTATTATTGCCTGGATGCTTTTAAACAGCACTTTAGAAGCAGCTGAAATTATTCCAATGTAGTGCTTTATTGTGGCCCTTACTTCTAAAATGAAATCATAGATTTTACAGACTGTAGGAGTAGATTTTAAAAAAATAAAATTCTCTTTCGGTGGAAAGATCCTCTAAGAGAGATGGATTTTTTTTTTAATACAAAGCTAAAGTAAAATGACCCACACTTCCTAAATGAAGTGAACCTGAATTTCTTTAGAGAGGCTTGTTCTATTTCTGGATGTCAGTTAAACCGACCTAAGTTTGCTGTGTGTATTTCTCACACTGTTGCACTTCAAAAACCCAAGGGCTTTGTGCTGCATTAGTTGAACTGTTTGCTTTTTGCTCCCCCACTGTGAATTACAAACCTCCCTCTCTCTTCTGGGAGAGGAAGGAAATTGGTATATTGAGAATAAAGAATCCAGCACTGTAAATAATGTGTTTTGGGGTTTTGGTTTAGTATCCACTCAGATGTCTGCAGAAAACCATGGTGACCTTGGTGGTGGTAGACAAAGAATATTCTAGAGACAGCATGTCTAGATAATTTAATCCAAAAAGCAGGGCATACAGCATAACTAGTTCCCTAAGAGAAAATGGAAATGTGGGCAGTAAATAGTTTTTATGGCTAGATGAACCTGGATAATTTTATGTAGATGAGACAGGAAAAACAAGATCCAAATGGAGAGGAACTGTTTGGATATTTCAGGTCAGGCAGAAGCCTTAAGGATGAGGTGCATTCCCCAAGTCTCTCCTGTGTCTATCTGTGTGCCATAAACAGAGAGGAGTAAAAGTGCACTTTAGTTCCACTGAGCTAATCAACCTTCCTGCAGGAGGGAGCTTATAGTGTGTGCTGCTTATGTGGGAAATTGCCAGCACACATATACTTGATTAGCCAGCATATTATGAATCAGGGTCATAGCTGGAGTAGTTGCTTTGTTCAGAGATGCTCAGATCCCTCGGGTAAACAGCTAATTGCAGGAAATCTTTTAAAGCAAATGTGTGATAGGAAGAAAGCAATGAATATTGTTTATTCAAAAGGCAGGAGTGGTTCCTTTGAATCAGTTCTCTTGCATAATTATGTAATTAGGGCATGTTCTATTTTTAATTAAATCTCCTGCATATTCATGAAAATACTCTGAACCTGTAGACCAATTGGCATGACTCTTTAAAATGTAGTTTATATAAAGGAATGCCCTTCAATCTTTTTTTTTCTCTTTCATATTACTGTGCAAACACATATTTCACATTGTTATAGTTAGGCTATCACCTGTCAAAAGTAAAATATTATGGTAAACCATCAATACAAAATTTCCAGAGAAACGTTTTAAATGGAGATGAAGAACACAAGAAGCTGTTGCTCTGAAATACTAGTACCCAAATTGTTTTTTGTTGTATAGCTTGACCTTGTAAGATACCAATCAGTGTGTGGAATTCAGTAAGTATACTTCATTTCCCTCAGCTTTTCAAATTCAACAGTAATTCTCTGTATTTGCAGTCTGCAGACTATCCATGTTCCTCTAACTTTGTTTTGTTTCTTGTGGGCTTCTGTGGCTCTTCCTGTTCTTCTGCCTCTTTGACAACAGCATTAGCTTTGATTCCTCTTCTGACTTCCTGCTTATTCTTAGGAGTCTTGCTTTCTCACCCGACTCTTGTTCTCACATCTGCCATTCTGTAGACTTGCTCAGTGCTGTATGTGAGGGCAAACAGATGTAAGCTGTGCTTTCCTTGAATATTTTTAATATTACCATTTAAGTGAGACTGCACATTTTGATTTACCACTATACCTGTGCATGTTTCCATTAGCTTATGATTCATACCCTGTACGTACTTCAGAGTTACACAAGGCAGCAGGACTAGATGGTCTTTGCAGGTCCCTTCCAACTGAAGAGTGTTATTCTATTCCATGTGGAGCTCAGATGATAATGCACCATAATGTAACTCTTTCATAAAGATAGGTTGTCACTATCCCCTGATGATTTACAATGTTCATTTTACTTCTTTGCTATATTTAAGAGTTTTCTTTCACCTCAGACCTCAATTCCTCCCAGATCTCAGGGCTTAACTTCTACCTAGTGGAACACAACATAAAGAAAATACTGTGGCTGTGCCTGCCTTTCTAGCGAGAGTGGAAATGAAACTGGAAGCTGAAGCAAAGAAATAATTCTTGTGACAAGTGTCACTGAGTTTTCACAGAAGTCTGTCTTTTCATGTGTAAACCTGTAGAAGAGTAGGGATTTTTCACTTAGTTCCATGTGGAATAAAGACAAGGGCATTGAAATATATTAGCAGCACACACTGAGCCCTAAGGGGGGGCCCAGCCTTCACCACAGAGTTCGTCCTTCAGCCTGTTTCCTGCGTTGTGACTTGCTCCATGAGCCACCGCACGCTGTGGAGCTCTTCATGTGCATTTCATAGGATCATCAAGGTTGGGAGGGGCCTTTGAGGTTCTTGCGTTCCACTTTTCCCCCCTTCCTTGCCCTTGAACCTTTTAACCCCCTTCCCCCGGCGCCGGTTCCGGCCCCCCTTTAACCCCTTCCGGGGTTGGGGCTTCCCCCCCTTCCTTGGGCACCTTTTTCCGTTGCTGGCTTCCCTTACCGTTGAAAATTTTTTTTCCTAATATCTAATCTGAATCTCCCTTGTCTCAGCTTAAGGTAATGTCTTCTGGTCCTCTCATTGCAGGCATAGTAGAAGAGACCAGCTCCCACCTCACTATACAGGTACTTTCAGGTAGTTGTAGAGAGCAATGCAGTCCCACCTGAGCCTCCTCGAGTCTGAACACCCTTTCTCAGTCCTTCCTCATAAAATACGTTTTCTAGACCTTTCATGAGCCTTGTTGCCCTTTGATGGATATGCTCCCGCTCCTCAATGTCCCTTTTAAAGTGGGGAGATTTTCCCAGAGGCGTTCGACTGAGACGGAGGCATCAGTTTCACGAGTCCTACAGTCACCAAAACCCTGAACTTTTTTCCACAACACTGGGCTAAAAAAACAGCGCAAAGAGCATCAGCACCAGTGCCCCGCTCTGGAGCGAAACGACCCCAAGTGTCAGGGAGGGCGCCCCGAGGAAACGCCGTGTTCTGCTCTCCGCTGACACAAGCTTCGGGCAGACAAGGCCCTATCGAGGTCTAGCAGCCTCGGGGATGCACCTGAGCCCTTGACATCCCTCGGGAGCATCCATGTCTGCGCTGCCCCGCTGCCGGGGGCAGGGATGACGCCATGGCTGGGGGGCGGTGGGGAAGAAGGGCGCGCGGGCGCTTGTGGGAGAAGGGGGGGGAGCCGCCATGTCAGGAGGGGTGGGAGGGAGGGGAGGAGGGAGGGAGAGGAGCGCGAGGCGGGACAGGGGCGGCGGCCGCAGCCGCAGCAGCAGCAGCGGGGCGGTGGTGGCGGCTGCCGGCAGCTGTCAGCCCCCGCTCCGCCGGCGCCCACCGCCCGCCTGTCACCGCTTCGGGAGGGGGGGGGTGGAAGCACTGAGTGCGCCGAGGTGCTGACCCGCTTCCTTCCTTCCCTCCCTCCCTCTCTCCGGTCCTCTCTCTCCCCCCCAAAAAACCCTTTTCCTTCCTCCCTTCCGCCCGCCCATCGCTGACATCCTCCTCCGGCCGCCTCCCCGCCCCGGGCTGCGCGGCCCCCGCCGCCCCAGCGAGCGCTGCGCACATCGCCCGAGCTGCAGCACCGAGCGGTGAGCGGGGGGAGCCGCCCGGGCCGGGGACGGCGGGCCGGGGCCCGGGCGGGGTGTGTGTTTGGGTGCGGGTGTGCGCCGCGTTTAATTCTTTCGCCTTCTCATCCGCCGCTGCGCAAACAACAAAAGGCTGCGCGGGCCGCCGGGTCCCCCCGCAGCGCCGCCGCTGACAGCCGGCCCCGTCCTTCCCCGCGCCCAGGGCGGGGCGCGTTTCTGGGGAGGCTGTTTTTGGGGGCGGTTTGTGAGTTGCGCTCAGCGCTTTGGCTGTGGGGAAGGGGATGTCCCCCGGGATGGGGATCGGCTCGGCTTTGTCCCCGTTTCCTCTCCCTCCCGGCTCCCCTCGGTGCTGCGGCGGGCGCCGCCCTGGGAGGGAGCGGGGTGAGCCGGCCCTGCGGCTCCGGGCGTGCGGCGCTTTGTCTGCGCCTCCCCCGGCCCAGGGGGGTCATTCTGCTGCCGGTTCGGAATCGGTGGAAGGCGAGGCCAGGACAGGTCTTCCTCAGGCTTTGTACACAGTGACCGGATTTGTACATTGTAGGTCACCTGCCGTGCTGTAGTCGGAGGCGATTCGTAGACTTGGGACTTGGCCGGGTTTCTACACCTCTAAAATAAGGAAAACATTGATGAGGGATACGTTATCCTAGCAAAAATACACAACTGATTTAAATGATAACTGCATCTTTAGGGCAGACTAATTAGAAAGAGGCTTTAAAACCTTACTCGTTTTGTCTTCGTCCTTTTCGTATTTTTAGGTAACAAGATGCCAGATTTGTAGATCTGCATAGCAGTTGTCTGTAATCACAGGGAGGAACTTCTTGACACCTTATTGAATTCTATGTTCTAGGCATATTGAAGCATATTTTAATGACCAAGGTGGCATCACCTAGTGTAATGCTATCGCCTGACTTTTTGAAGGCTACTAAATCAAATGATGGTGCTGTTACGCTGGTTTTTTTCCCCCTGCTAATGATTTACATCAGGGGATGTGATGTAAATGTAGCATTAATACTCAAATACTGGTCATGGAACCAAAATACAGACTCAGAAAGTAAAACCAGCTAGCAAAAAATTAAAGTCTATTTTTATAGTTTGCTTTGAACAGCAAAATAGCGAGCCAGTGTCATTCAGGATATAAAATGCTTTCATGGTTGTACATAAAAATACATAAAACTTAAACGGTTAGAATATAATTTTTAGCAGTTTTGCGATTGGCAGGAGGTTTTGCAACAATTACTCTGCCAAGTAATTGTCTCTTTCACTTCCACTTTTGCATTTGCTTAATAGCAAATATCACGTAAATAGCAAACTTAGGTGCAAAGGCTGTACATTGGAAGCTAAAAATGAACCTTCGAGATTTTAGACAGCATTTTAATTAAAAAAACCCAACAAAAAACTGAAAGCAACACCTTTTTGAACGCACAGTTGGTTTAAAACTCTTTTGGAAAATAGGTGTAATTGAGTATGAATTCCAAAGCTTCAGCAAAACACGATAGAGGATATTATAACCCTAGGATTACAGATACAATTGGAAGTTACACATTCAGCATTTACTGGCAGCAGAGAGAAAGCTGATCCATCTGGTGAGTCTGAGCAGAAGACCTTGTAAGTCACTTGCTCAATAATTTTTGTGACCACATGGTTTAAGAGGACCTTTTCCCTGAAATTACAACGGATATGGAGAACTCTAACAGTTCCATTGAGATGCTCGTTTTATATAATGCAGATGCATTTGGGTAAATGCAGGGAATCTAAATGGTCTGTTCCTGAAACTCGCCAATCAATGCAGTATCACTTCTGCATCATGTTGCAGTTACAGTTTGGCAACTGTCATGTTTCTGAAGGATGATGATGGAGCTGGACAATTCTAGTAATCAAAAATTTTAATAGCAGTTTGAGCTTAGATTCCCTTCACCTGCTACCATATGTAATTAAAAAAGAGAATAAAGTTGTCCTCCAAGGGGCTTGTGAAATAGCCTCATGTACTGTTTGTCAAATCCCTGTGATATGCTTAACAGTGCCTTGTTAATGGAAAGAAATTTTTTAAAAGGTCTGTGTTTGACAAAAGAAGAATCACGTAGACAATTTTTAATTAAATATGCAGGAGTCCAGAATACAATCTTCTGAATGTCTTTGACGTACAAGATTCAAAATACGCTGTACAGAAACTTTAGGCATATAAGGGCAATTGCTGCTTCCTGCATTTATGAAGAACTTCCCATATTAATGTCAGAAACACCTCACTTCTGTGCTGCTCATACAATGCACATCTCTCTATGTGTGTCTTTTTGTGTATACACACATACCTATGTATGCCATTGAATTGGGAGTTTGGAGAGATATTGTAGCCTCATATTCCATTCTGAGTCCATTTAATGCAGCTTCTGTTTCTCTTGAGATGTGGGCTTGTGCAGTTACTCTTTCATTTCTTCCTCTGTTTGACTCCTCTGGCAGACATGCAATTGGATTTACTCTGGGATTAACAGCATCACTTCAGAGGCATAGCTCATGATTATGTTAAAACTCAATTTGGTGTACAAATACTTGTAAAATAATGTTTTTGTAAGAGGAGCGACAAATATGAAAATTTGGGTAAATTTGTAAGTAAGCAGAATATGCTTCTGCATTTAATGTTGAAGAGCAGAGTGACAGATAGTGATGGGGACAAGCGTGCTGGGTCTAGTTAAATAAACATCCTTTGTAGTCAGTCTGCCTCCCGGGTGTTGTTCAGTATGACACAACTATTATAAAAATGGACCAATTCCATCATCATTGCAATAAAATGAGTAGTCACAGGCTTTTCTCTTAATTCAGCCTCCATAATACTTTGTGTTTGCTAAGTATTTCCATTTGTTTTCTAAGAACATTATGTTTACCATGGCCAAAGTTTAGAAAAATATTTATTTTTCAATGTTAACTCTCATTTTTCTTCAAACAAAGGCATAACAAACATAATGTCTAATACATACTTTGTTTTAACCAAGTACCAGTCAAAGACAGATTGTTGATTCTAAAAGGAAATGTCTTTGACTTCAAAATAGAACTGGTTGTAATAGTTATCCTGAGTCACAATCAGCTTCGAGTATTTTTGAGGTATTAAGGCTTTCCCAATATTTTCTTTAGTGAAATGTTTTCCTTTCTGAAAGCAGGGTGTGGAAGAAAGTGTGGTTCTTTTGAAAAATGCCTTGATGAATGCCTGACCAGAAAAAGGTGCAGTTATGCTGACTTAGACTTGCTAAAATGATTTTGTTGCCATCATTTTACAGGATTTAAATTGGGCACTTTGTTATGAGGATCAGAATCAGAATTACAGATGCTTTCAATGATAGAGGAATTATTTCCATAGGGTTCTGTGTGAGGTGCTTTGTAGTCATCAGGCATAAGGTGACACTATATTTGAGGTTCTTTTGTGCTAGACAATTAATATACTTAATAATGACTAAAGATGTGTTTGTGCTTCTAGTACCCATGATATGTTTGGGATTGTGAACAAAGGGTGAACACTAAAGCACAGTTAACACTAGATATGCTAATTTCTGTTGATGTATAGAGAAAATTAATGTGTGGTAGTTGACAGTTTCTTCAGATTCAGTTGGCTAAGAAAACAGATGCAAGTAATAGTATCTGTGTGTTGATTTAATCACTTTTTGTTTCTTTGAATCCAGCTTATCTCCCAGGGTTTCTGCTCTTTAACTCTTTTTAGTGCAGTCAGGAACAATCTTTACTCTTCATGGAAGCTGTGTTTTGGCATTTTTGTAGAATAAAAATGAGTTTATTTTGTCAAATTATTGTTTGTTGGTTATGTTTCTTTTTCAAAATTAGGTAGTCATCTTATGTTCCAAATATGCTTTCCCTCTATCTGCTTAAATGTACAGATTTTGTGTATGGTTTCTCAACATCAAGTCGTGCTTACAGGTAAAAGCAGTAAAATACCTTTTGCAGATAGACTAAAAAGTGAGCAGTTTCCTATTTTAGTTCTTTTAGATTCTGCCATAAACCCCATTCATTGTGTTTAGATTTTGTTTCTGGGATTATGTTGGAACTATAACTGATTTTATTAAATTTTAAAGTGACTAGAGCAAAGGATGTAACCAGTCTAGTAGGTAGTGCAGGCTTCCTTACATATCTGTAGGGTTGGGGTGTGGCTAATTATACTCAACTCACTGTGTGATGTATCCTGACAAACCATTTGAAAAGTTAACGTTGCACTTATTAATATTCAGAAGTTCAAGAAATGTCTGATGTAAACCAACTTTTTGGTACGACTTAAAAAGTTGTATCTACAAGTTAGTCTTTTTAAAGGACAATACTTATGTTTCTCAGAATTATCAGATAACTGTTTATCTTAATTCTTATCAGTGTTTGTATGTAGTAGTTAAGTAGTTAAATGTTAACAAAAAATTAAGATTGCTGGCAACGTGGTATTATTTGTACGTGTGCCACTCCACAGTGCAGAGCGTGGTGGTTTGAAGCTTTGAGTAAGGGATTGCAGTAACTGCATTCCTCCTGTATCTTGAGTTTGCTCCTTCCAGCTGACAGTAGCTGAATGATTTGCAAACCATGTCATACAGATTAGGGACTGGCAGGGGAGGAGCACGGTTGTGTTGGGGTGGTTTATTTTTTTCCTGAATAGAATAGTGTGTTTTAAGATTAAGTGCTTTTGTGGATGTTCCTTTATCAAACAATGGGTGAATAGCATAGGGAAGTCGTGGTTCTGTCTTTCTCTTCTGGTCTGAGCAGCTTCCATTTCAGAGAGGCTGCTGTTACCTGTCATCCCTCCTGTCTTCGGCAGGTGTGGGTTTTACTGCACCCCCGCCTTTAATGTTTCATTTGTTCGTGTGCTTAAACTGGATGTTCCTCCTTGCTCCCTGCCCCCAATCGCATTTAGTGTGTGTTTGGAGGGAGAAGGGTTGATTAAAGATGTGGGATTCCTCCCTGCCCCTCAGTGCAGAGGTTGGCAGTGTGTAGTCATTTTAATGCAACTAGTGGGATGATCATCTGCGAGG